AGATGTTGCTGGTACAACAACTACTAGTGCTACTGCTAGTACAACTACTACTAGCATCGCAAGCTGCAGTTCCATGATAGATCATCTGCAACAAGTAATCCACTGCTTCTCCGATAACAACAACAAGATCAGCAGCGCCAATGACAATCTCATGTCTCCTCGAGAGGCCCAATCCTTTTGGACGACTACTACTAGTAGCAGTAGCAGCGGTGGTACTGACAACAACATGAAAGACATTGTCCATCGGTACGCTCCCGTCGGCTTGGAGTCTCAATTCGAACAGCTCTATAGTCTGTTGCATCCCTGTTTGGTGGTTCACGAAAATGAGACCAATGCCGCTGCCTTTTTGTTGGGGCAGCGGGGCATGGGCAAAGGACTCTTGGTGGAGCGATGTCTGCAGGCCCTCCAAGATGAACTCACGTTTGCTCCTTCTTCTACCAACAAGAAGAGCAACAAAATGCAACACTTTCGAGTCGTCAAGGTACATGGTGTCCTCATTCCAGGAAATGATGTCAGTTTAGTCGTCAAGGACATGTTGCAACAATTATCACAAATGGTATTGCAGCAGAGAAGAGAAGAAGATCAGCAAATGAAGAAGGACAATACTACTACTACTACCGCTGCATGCACCACACCACTACCCACCAAACACAAGAACCACGCTACTACTACTGCTACCGATAGTTGTACTAGTACTAGTTTTGGTGACGAGCAATCACCCAACAAACGCTTCAAAACGGGTAATGGTACACCCACTGCCGCCGAACAAATGCTCCGACTGCGCATGTCCACGTTTGAATCCAACCTACAACTCTTGTCACAAACACTCAAATTGGCACGCGTCGATCAAATACCCATTCTCATTATTCTGGATCAAGTCGATGCCTTTTTGGGTGGTGATCAGAATACTACTACAAGTAGAAGCAGCAACAACAACAGCAACCATCATCACAATCTCCAACAACGAGATCGACAATTGCTCCTCTATCATTTATTGGATCGAGTCGCCACACAGGGATCCAATGTCTGTCTCATTGGAATGACGCAACAATTGGCATGGAGAAGTCAACTCGAAAAACGAATCAAAAGTCGCATGGAAGGAACGTCCAAGGAAATTTTTGTGGGAGCATGCCCCTCCTTTTCGGCAGTGACCAATGTACTCTTGTCTCATTTTAATGTCGCGACACAACAACAACCATGTCTACACGAACAAGTGGCGCGCATTCTGACGCCTCCCCAAAAGAATAATGCTGCTGCTGGAGTGGAACTCACAGTGTGGCAAACCTTGGAACGAGAATATCGCATGGGCAAGAACATTCGTTGGTTCAGTCGCATCTTTACCATGGCGCTGGCACTGTATCGAGGAGACTGGATCGAGTACAAGTGTCGACTGCGGAAACTGCAAGACAGTCAGCCGGAGCCACCTACGTTCCATGCCAGCTATCTCTTGGATGCACTCGTTTCCCAAGGAGCTTCCATTCCCAATGTTCCAAAACAAAGCAACAACAATAACAACAACAACAACAAGCGTAGCAGCAACATTGTCATTATGACTGGTGGTGGTGGATCCCAACAGCTACAAGCCAAGACGGCTGTGGATCCTCGAATTCAAGCACTGCTGGATTTGTCCATGCCACAAGTTGCCTTGATTCTCTCCGCTCGAAGAATATTGGCACGGGATGCCCAATGGAACAATGAAGGTCGAGGAGGAGCAGAAGGCATCATGCCAGCTCCACTCACATTGGGGCGCATGGTGCAAGAATACGAACGATTCATCATGAATCAACAGTCGGGTGGCTGTACGTTTAGTCGGCATTTACTGTGGATTTCATTTCAAGAACTGCTCCATCTCAACTTGCTGCGACCGGCCATGGATCATTGTGGAACGGGGCCCTTTCAATATGATCACCAGCAACAACACTACAGTAGCTTGAACGAAGCCGAGGATGTCCCATTGCATCTGCTGGTAGACGCTAACCGAGAACTCATGGACGCATTGCAGGAGTTGGACTGTACGACAGCAATGCGTGAGTGGGGGCGGAAGACAAATTAGTAGTACCGGTATGATACGATAGTTATTGTGGATTCGATTCTGTACGTTGTGCCATTTGCATGCCGATGTTGTGCTATCTACCGTGCTTTTGTTCAGATTGGAACGTGTCGGCTCTACGAAATTTATTTGATCTCGATGCACCTAACAGTGAATCAGCGCTCCTGTATAGTTGGCGGTTGTGAGGGAACTGTCACAGCCGAGACCGACCAAAAGATGCTACTATGACCACCATCAGCCATTAGCCTACAAGTCAAATAATGATAATAACGGAAAGGATCTTGATCAACGTGTATTGGCAAGGCAAATTGGAAGTTGGATATAGCCAAGCTTCAATCATGCTGCTGGAAAAAGTTTGCAATGAATCGGGTGCCATCAAATCATCATCAGTTGGATTCACTCGCCAAGAGCTCATCCAATAGTCTCTGTGTTTCCCCCTTCACACTATTATCCATGTTGGGGTAAGCACAATCTCCCAAGCTCTTGCGGAGCCAAACAATTGCTTCTTTTTCATTCACCGGCATACCATAATATCCTCTGGCAAATATGGTTCCCATGCAATGAGCAGCAGACTCAGATCCTGCAGTTGCAGCAAGTGTCAAGTAGACCATGCCCATTGAGCAACAATGTTGCACGCCCTTGCCTTGTACAAGTGCTAACCCAAGACCAGCTGTTCCTCTCACATTGCCAGCTTCATGTGACTTCTTGTACCATTGGTAGGCCAAGCTATCGTCTTTTTCAAAGCTGTCGCTTCCACTTCTGTAGTTGCTTGCCACTGCTTGCATGGCCTCACAATCACCGTCATTGGCTTTTTGGAGCAATTCTTCCTTGACCTTTGTTTCCTGGACTTTCTTGTTCCAAGCTTCCGCCACATCACTCAAAAAGGCTTCATTCTCAATCAATGTCTCAATCAGACTCTTGATTTGCGGGGCAGGCAGGAGTTTTGCACCAATGGGTTCATTGGTCACAGGTGACTTGATTGGTAGTTTTTTTTCTTGCTGTGTCTGGAAGTAGGTCTCAATGGCCTCTTTTTCGTAGGTTCTACCGTCTTGAGCAACCACAGGCACCCATGGAAGCTCTCTTGTGATGGGACAGATGAGGTCAGCAGCAGGGTCTCTCTTTTGTCTCTTGTTGTTCGCAGCATTGCCACTCACGCGCAGTGGTTTGCACAGTGGCTTGCACAATCCTCTGTCCCATTTCAGAAGCGGGAGAGCAGCCTTCTTGCCAGCTGTCTGCAATGATTCGTATAGTTCTCTAAGCCACTTCGGAAGAGTTTTGATGGGCCACTTGACAGAGAGACTTGCGTTTGCAACCTTGCATTTGAGTTCATTGATCCCTTCGCTGCTCAGTGCCCACAAGAATTTCTCCAGCTTGAACGATGACAATGATGGACGGCCATGAAGGACAGCACTGGCAGTGAAGGCTAGTAACAACAACAACGGAAACAAAGTGTGAACACAGTTTGAAAGCTCATAGAGTGCCATGGCCTCTTCAGGTTTCTCGACGAGAAAAGTGAAGATGTATTGTGGCCAAACTGTTTGGTTGCCTTTGGACTGCTGAAACCTGAAAGCCGAGCGCAGAACCTCAAAACCTCACTTTCGCGAGAAGGTGTCCAAAAAATGGCGCGATCCGTGCTTTGGTTTGTGACGTGTTACCCTAACTCTAAGAAGATTCTGGTTTTGTCCCGCGGATTAAATTTGCGTGAACAAAAATCGGAATCTTCAATCTTTCGAAGGCAACTGGCCAACCTGTACAGTGTACCGGTATCGAAGTTGTTGTTCCTTTTTGGGCTCTGATCAAGGAGGTCTTCCGTGAGGGTGTTGCTTGGTTGTTCATCCCATTGTATTCAGAAGTTGGCTACGTTTTTGCGCTTGCGTTGGCTGGTTCTGCTGTACAGGTCCACAAGATTCTTTCCCTTTCAATTTTGTCCAATTGACTCTACACAACTGATTGCCAGCATGTCAGATTATACCAGCATCGAGAGCTTGTCCAAAGTATTCGAACGGGGATCTGCCAATATCATCTGGTGTGAACATGTCTTGGCCATGAAGAATGCCTCTGGGATGAAAGAGGATGCATGGATTGCAGAGTATTGGAATTCCTGGACGAACCTGGCCTTTGTGGTAGCGGGCATTCTGGGCTTGCTTCGGGTGGCCAGCGACATGACAAAAACAGCCAAACTACACTTGTGGGGTGTCCTGTCGGCAGAATTGACCTTGATGATTGGTGTTGGATTTGGGTCCTTTATGTTTCACGCCCATCAATCCCGTGTGGCTCAAATTGCCGATGAGCTGCCCATGTGTCTGCTCACGTTATTCTACAATTATGCTTTGCGGGGACTGCATCCATTGACCACAGATCCAAAGTACAGTGGCAAGTTCTATGGAATAAGTCTGATCTTTGTGGTGGGACTGTGGGCAATCTACATCTACACCGGGATTTATGATGTCTTCGTTCTATGCTTTAGCACCCAAGTAGTGTCCACAATTGCTCTGTCCTGGGATGCTGGTCGAAGAGTCAACCATCCTACCACGGTATTTTACACAGGCGTGTCTTGCCTAGCGTTTGGCAAGGTACTGTGGGAATATGAAAGATACTTGTTCCGAAATGAGGCTTGTGACGCACCCGGGACAATCTGGTTGCATCCACTGTGGCACATTGGAGCCGCACTTTCACACTACTGCACAATGCTGAATATCACCAACTTGAATAAGAGAATCCATGGGAATGGAACTGTCGCGAGCAATGGTATCTCAAACGGCCACGTCAAGAAGGACTAGTCGGAGATAGATGTATCTTTGTTCTAGCCAGCTAGCGAGATCTGTTTTGGATTTACGCCCTCTGAAAAGATTCATATCTTCCCACCCGGTGCGATAGATCCCATTGGCAGATGGTACCTCTGGCTGAACGTACGTACAGACTACACATTCCTTTCGTAATAATCAAAACACTCACTTCATGTATTATGTAGCTTGCATCGTGTTTGTTCTTTGCTTTGGCTGCAGTCTACGTTGTCGTAAAAGTTCACAGGGGTATGGGCTTAGTATGCTGGTTGGTGGCAGTATGCAGTGTTGTGCGCGCTGTTAATAGTACCGATGTTGGAATGGCATACCATCTGAGGTTGTGGTTGTGTGTGTGAGAGAGTGTGCGTGCAACTGGTGTGTGTTGTCCGATGTATGTGCTGATTTGCGTTGGACCCTTTGGATTTCCCTTGTTCGGTCTGCTCTGTTGCTGCTGCATGCATTTCCTGTTTTGTTTTCTACAGCTGAGGACCTTCAAAGTTTCGACGACGCCTCCACTTGCCTTCTACCACGTTGCACCACCACTCACGAGGTAGGTCCTCCATTTGATGTTCATCGTACATGTCAATCCCTACGAGGGAAAAATACTTTTGTGGTGTGACAATGGTCTTGAGTTGTTGCAGTACCAGGTCGCCGACTTGCCCATCTCGGCTGCATTTTTGGAAAACCATGTCGACAATCTGATCCCGCGTACTGCATTCCGGCATTTGGTTGGCACACACTTTGAGAAAGGTTCCGTAGGTTACTTGATCTGGATTGCCGTATTCGCCCAACTCTAGGTCTTTCAACACTTTGTGGGCAATCTCTAGGGCTCGGTTTCGTTCCGGAACCTCTCCCATTGTGTAGGCGCATGCATTCATGACCGCATTGGCGACGACCACGTTGGGTTTCAGGTTTTCGTTTCCTTGTCTGTAGAGTTGTTTCATTTCTTTGAGCAAGTTCAGGGCGCGATCCGCTTTGTGCTCCTTTTGACTTCGTGCCCAGGCTGGTATTCGGAAAAGACGTCAGGTAGTGTAAGGCACGTGTATCCACAAATGGAAATGGCGCCATCGATTGACAGTAGTCATTGTGGTGCTTACCATTGATAACGGTAGAGAAGCTGTGCACATCGGGCGCCACACTGCTATCTCCTCCTTTGAACATTCTCTCCATGAGATCCAGAATTTCTTCGGCTCTCTTGGCTCCAATATCCGACTGTGACTTGGCCCTGTGTCGTTCAAAGTGAAGAGGAACAAAAAAGTCAAGAGAGATTATTTGTGAGACATGGTACATCAGCGATTCGACTCATTGAAAATCCCCCCATGCAAGCAGGCAACTTTTACGAAAACACTTTTTTACGTACCACACATTGATGACGGTATTGTAGGAACGAACATTGGGTTTGGCATCTACGTTTTCGCCCGAATTGTACAAGGCTTCCATGTGCCGAAGAATATTCTCTGCCTTTTCTCCCACTTGCTCGGCACTGTACTGTTGCTGCGGCATGTCATCGTCCCACTGATACTCGTCCTGCTGATGGTGTTGCTGTTGATGCTGTGGATCTTGATGCGTGCGTACCTTGCTGTAGGCATCAATGACGGCATTGTAAGTGACCGTGGTTGGTTTCATTGTCATTTTCAAGTTACTATCATCATCATCGTCACCACCCTTGTACGCCGCTTCCATTCGCTCCAAGACTTGTTCGGCTCGTTGCGCGGCTCCCTCTTGTCCACAGTTGGCCCACGCCGAGATGAGACTGTTGTAATTGTACGCATTGGGCTTGACTTGTTCTAGTCCAGTAGTGAGATAGACGGATTCCATGCGTCGAAAGACATCGTCGGCTCGTTCGGCATCGCCGCGTTTGGCGTACGCATTAATGACGGCATTGAAAGCGCGAGAAGTGGGTCGGACATCTTGGTCGTCATCAAGCAAATACAATTCGACCATGCGTTCGCAAATGCGTTCGGCGTTGTGAGCGTCTCCACTGTTGGCATACGCTTCGACGACGGCCGTGTACGTGAACGTGTTGGGATGAACGGCCACGTTTTCTCCCGACTGATACAGATAGTTCATCTTGTCCAAGATTTCATGTGCCATTTCACCGGCCCGAGGAGTCGCCGACCGTGCCATGGCGTTCATGACTTTGGTGTAAGATCGGACATCGGGAATGACACTGGCCATACCTCCTCCTGTAAAAGAGAGTTGTTCCATCTTTTTCAGGAGGGCCATGGCTTGTGTTGTGGCATCGAGTTCTCCTGAGAATGCCCATGCATCAATGAGGAAATGAAACGTGTTGCGATTGACCTTCATGCCGCGACTGCTAATGGTATTGCGGTTGTGGCTCTGGCTGTCACCACCAAAAGTAGTGGTGGTATCCAATGCCAGTAACTTTTCGGTGCGTTTGCGGAGAAAGGCGGGATCTCCCATGGCAGGATTGAGACGGCTCTTGTTGTGGTTGGATTTCTTGCTATTGCGCTTTGATTTTCGTCGTCGTTGCCACTGTTGTGCCGTAGCGGATACCACAGCCTTGTGGTGGTGCGTCGCTTCACTGGCCGCCACAATGACCTCAATGTGGCGTTTGGTGGTGCTGTCACTGTTGATGCGTTCTTCGACAGCGTCATGCTCCTGATGAGTGGCAGTCTTGGTAAAAGAGGGAACAGCCGTGTGTTCTACTGTCGCCCAAAAGGGAGTGGTACTGGCATCCATGCATGTCTTGAGTCCATTGCTGTTATGATGTGGTTGTGACAGTTGTGTTCTTCTTGTTCGTTGTCTGATCATTTCAGAGTTCTGAGAAAATGCTCTGGCTTCCTGGGCAATGGCCACCAGGACCAGGAGCACTGGAAGCGACAGGGACAGGCGATTTCTTGTCATTGTTGCTTATTGATTGCTGATCACAAATGAGATTGAGTAGAAATGAGATGAAGAGATGACAAAATATGATACGAGAGGACAGTGAGAAAAAATGATGGAATGTCTGTGTCTTTTGGTCCAGTTGTTGGGGCTATAAAAATAGAGGATGTGATGTTTGCAAGCGGCTTTCGTGTCACTCAAGCCAACGTTCGAACGTTCTCAAGGCAAGAAATAGATGCGTACTAGCTAGAGTACTAGTAGCTAGTAGAATAGCTAAGCAGTCTAAACAACCAATCTTTCCAAGCTAAGATATTCGCCTTGCTTTGAGGTGTCGCCTTGTGCCAGCCACACTGCCGAACGACGAAGCAGCAGCCAGCAGTGTCCGTACCGTACGGTAGTAGCAGATGATCTGACATATTGTTTCTGATGGCTGTGATGGATGCCACCGCGTTCGTCGTGGGAACTTCGACTGGACAAAAGCAAAGTTCGTTCTTCGTTCCACAAACGCACGGATTTACTGACGTGTCTACCATGACATCTGATGCATGACTTACTCATTCTTGCAATAGTTTAGTCCGTTCACGAGTCAAGTCAAGTCATTACATCCAACCAGTGAGGGTCATGTGACTGTCACAACTGCAACACCAGATGCTCATCCATGTACATGTATGTCTCATCCACAACAAAGTCGCGGGAGCTGCCACCAAGCAACACGAGACTACGAGTAGAGTACCGTATCCAAGAGGCTTCTGGAGACGCTCACGAACACACACCCAGCAAACAAAAATACACCACGCTTCGCTTCCCACAGCCACTCGTTCTCATTCATTACTTACTTACTTCACCTTATCAATCAATTGAGTTGGCTAGCTAGTAGCGAGTTGCAGGTATCAGTAGTTATCCATTATTCAGGCAAGAGAAGAGAAGAGAAGACCAGGACTACCGCCAAGACAACTCACCAATCCACATCCATTTATCTTATTAATTGACTATTGATTTACCAACCATGGTAAAGTCATCCTTTGAAATTGTGGGTCCCGAGGACAACCAAGATGAATACTGGGATGGGGATTTCCAGGATGACGACAATGCTGAAGACGAAGAAGCCTTTGATGGACGACCGCAACCTGCCAATGGCTTGAATGGACATCACACCAACGGCGACAACGGTCTGAATGGCCATCACACCAAAAAGAAGCATATGAAAAAGATGAAAGTCTCCACGCAACGAGATTACAGTGGCTCGTCTCTACAGGAATTGCTGTATCTGCCACCTCGGGCACGAGGCATCTGCTGTTTGGGTATGATTGGATTTGGACTCATTCTCATTTTCATTGCCTTGATTGTACCCAAGAGTGAACTGGGATTGGCCGGTCACAACAACGACGATAACAATAGCAACAATCAAGAATCCACTTGTCAGGTACACACCACACAGGAAACATTCTCCGAATGGATGCACAATATTCGAATCACCAATTCCACAGAGTTGTGTCAAAAAGAGGTAGGTACATCAATCAATCAATCAATCAAAAACTCCTGGTTTGTTTATTTATTGGCTGGCTGTCTTGCTTGCTTTGTCTGTTTGGATGTCGGAGTGCAAAAGAGATGGGATCGGATCTGTTTGTGTTGCTTGGGTTGCGGTTGCTATTTTTGTTTGCCTTTTGGGGTGCTGTTGTTTGTCTCAGAAGAGCGTCCATGGGCTGCTTGAAAGCAAGTAGTTCTGGTTTGAGTTTTCTTCGTTCGCTGTGTAGTGCTCGCTCTCCACACCACACCCTAATTTTACCAAACGCTTTCTCACCTTGTCTTCCACCACATCTGATCCTTTTTTTTTTGCATCGCCTGATCACGCTCCCTTGATTATCCCACTCGTTTCTCGTCATCCGCTGCGGCCTCCATTCTGATACGACGACAACAACCAAACACTGCAACCCGATACAAAATGCATACATCATTCCACACAGATCGCCTCATCGGACTGCAAATGCCACAATCCATTCAAAGTCGCGCAATCCGATCAGAAGGGGTGGCACAAAATCTTCGAATCCAATCTCCAAGCACTCAACGAAACAACACTAAAAGAAGCATCTCTGGATCTTGTACTCTACGGGGATTCCATCATTGAACGAATGAATGGAAGAGTTTTTGGTAAACCAAAAGACGATCTACAGGATCAATTCTCCGTCACCAAAGAATACTTTACCAAAGAGGGAGGAGGCAAAATCAACGCGCTGCCACTCGGAATTGCCGGAGAACAAATTCATGCCCTCATGTACCGGCTCAAGAATGGAGAAATGCCCGATACACTCAAACCCGGTGCCTGGTGGCTCATGATTGGAACCAACGATGTCGTCCAGGCAAACTGCAATGTGGATGCCGTCGTCGCGGGCATTGTCACTGTGGCAGAAGAAATTCTCAGACGAGATGAAATCAATCGACAATACGATGCGTCCCATGTGGTCATCAATTCACTCTTTCCACGCGTCAAACTCGACAAGGATCCACTCTGGAAAACCATTCAACAAATCAATAGTCGACTCGAATGTTACGCCGAAACCACCAAAGGCATGGAATTCTTTAATGCCACGGAACTCTTCCTGGACAGTGCCACCAACAAAGTCAATGCCAATATATTCCTGGAGGATGGGATCCATCTGACGGCACACGGGACGCGTCTGTGGGAAGAAGCCATTGTCGAAAAATCACTCTACCTGATTGCACACAATTCGTAGTGCAGTGGTCGTACGAACAGACAATAGCCGCCAAGGTTCAAGCATCGGTCAACGCTCAGATAAAGGGGAGAGAGAAAAGAAAACTTGCTTCGATGGCAGGAATTCAATCACTCATGCACGAGTTCCGGGCCCCACCGAGATTTGCATCACCTGACAACGCACCAGCAGCTCTCGGTTTCGCACACCCACAAACAAAACAAGAATGAAAAACACATGACAAAAGTAACGGGGATAGAAGATGATACTGTATCTTTAAAGACTTCAAGCACGCCTTTGATAATACTGTTTGGTCGCGGAGCATTGTAGAACGATGCGGCCAAACCTTTGTCTTGTATGGATGTCGCTGCTTAGAGTGGAATTTTGGCACAACGTGCTATCACGAAGCTCTCCGCTCCTCCCCATACTAGCTAGTACTGGTATATGTACCGGTGGGAACGCAGACAATGATCTCGTTTCCACCGGCAGTTCTCTCCCACAGCCAGCGCAGGTGCGAGAGCGACCATGAATAAGGCATAAACTTAGAAAATGCACCGTACTTGAGGCCCTGGTGAAAGGTCATCTGCAATTAGCCCCACCACCTGCACTGTTGGCTAGCTAGCTACATTGTAGAGCAAGGGTGATTCTTTTTAAAATTCTTCCACAATATCTTTGATGCTTTGCAAGCTCCTTCAAGCTCAAAGCTCCGACTCAAAGGGCTGTTGAAGCCTTGCTGTGACTCGTCACTCGACTTGCCGCCACAGCAACATGCAAGCTGGCTTGATTGCTATTGGATTGAGCTGCTCCATTAGCTCAGTAGGTAGAGCACACGACTTTTAATCGTGTGGCCGTGGGTTCAAGCCCCACATGGAGTACTGGAACCTTTACCCCTTCCATTTTCCTCCTCAGCTGAGCAGTCGTAGAATCCCGTAGCAAAAACTGTTGGTTGATGTGTCCGGCCAGCTTACTCGTCCAGCTTTATGCAGACTTCAGAAGTTGCGGTGGTCGGGTTGCGACTTCGATGGGGTCGTTTTGCCTCCGGATTCTGTTGCAAGGGCGATGAAGGTTCATTGCTTTTGCTTCAGCCACCCTCTTCCTCCTCACAATTCACTGGCTCGATCCTCGTTGCCAAAGTAACTCTGTGTTTGGAGATGAGGAGAGCGGATGGGTGGGAGTACCGGGGTGACTGTTTCCCTTCCAATGTTATTGGATTTTCTGCTTCCTAGTAGACTGCCCAGCTCAGAGCTGGAAGGCGCCTACGAATGGATATGAATCGATACAGTATATGTATACCGACAGCTACCCCTTGTTTTTGGCTACTAGCTTGTATCAAGGCCAATTCTGCCAAGTGATAAGTGATACATAGATAGGAGTGGTTGAAGGAAGTCCTGGTGTTGTCAACACGATCGCTTTTAGGGTAGGCTTTACGACACCATGTTGCCTACAGGTAATTGCTGACAGACTCGATCAAATTTGAAACAGCACCGCTGCAAATATGTCCATTCATCGTTACGGAATCACTCCGCACTTCTCTTGTTTTATATCAGGTTTGCTTGCACCAGCTGTTTTCGCCAGCCAACAAACATCTTGATAACAACTATCGCATGGGCTTCAAGCATTGGTTCTGCCCGAAAGGTCAGCACTGTACGTACTCATCTCGGACGAGAAATAATGAGCTTCATGCAGTAGCCTTCCCGAAGTGCCACGCACAACGATATGATACACCATAAAACACAATTCATTGTCAACGGAGCCACTACGACAAAGAGAACCACCCCCAACCAGTAATCCAAGAAGGAGATCGCAGAAACAAGGACGACCCAAGAATGGTCCAAAATAGCGCTGATTGCGTGGACGGTCATTGCCACAATTATTTGTTGCTTCTAAAGTTGGTTGGGTTTCCGTTCTTGGCCTGCTGGCTGCTTTGAAATTTGTGAGGTTTCAGTTGTGATTGTCCCCTCGATTTCGTGCAACAGCAACCGATCGGCACATCGGCAGATTCACGGTGCAGCTTTGGGCTTCGAATGGTGATGGTGGCTCCAAGCAAAGATTTGGCTGGATGGATGGTTTTACCGTGGGCTTCCCGTGGTTGCAGCAGGGTCCGGCACCGAACACCTTGAACCGTGCTTGGGATTCCCTCAATGATTTAAGCTAATGTTTCCGTCTAACAGTTTACCATCGTACTGTACGAGCGCATCGTGCATATCAATCTGCCGCGATTGCCCTCCAAAACGAAGGCGACAGGTCCGGATGCAATCGCGCCTTTGGAGCGGTACCAGTACCTACTCGTACCTTTACTGTACCAACACATTCAACTCTTTATTAACGCCCTGTTTCCGCATACCGGTACATGTACCATGGTACGAGTACCGGCGCCCAAGCACTCAGGAGCACGTACAACGTAATACAGCTCTCGCTGGTGTTCTTGGCATTGTGAGAATGGATCCACTCTTCGTAACATATACTTTATATACATATAGTTCATGGTCTCCCTCAACGGAGCAGAGGGACTATATCTAGGAGAGCATCTTTTCCGACTATGGTAGGTTACTTGAAGAAATCCAAATCAGGATTCGCTCGATTCGGCACAACAGCAACAGTCGGAATTGCCGATGTTTTCGAATCTTTCTTCTTGAGGGCAACAGTAGCACCGCCGCCACCGATACCGATGCCACTTAATATGGTTGTGTTTGCCTTGTATTTTGGCCGAGCTGGTGCCGAGTTTGATGTCGATTGTGGTGTGTTGCTACTGGAATCTGAAGAGGTCCACATATTGTTTTTGGCCCTTTCAACGGCGCCGTGGCCAGGCGCCTTGTGTTTCAAAGGCGTCTCATTAGCGTGGGGGACGCGCTTCGGCTTTCCTGTTTTCTTCTTCGGGGGCATTGTTTCTTTGTTGATGTTTTTGCAATAAGCTGTAGTTGTGTTGTTGTTGTGGCGGTGGTGGTGGGGGTGTGGCTGCCAATAAAGGCTTTTCGCGAACGGCGGTCTTACGGCGTACTCGAATCGACGCGAATCGAATCGAATCGAATCGAATCGAATCGAATGATCAAATCGAATCTATCGTGACGACGAAGGTTCAAAGAGCGTCAATCGTGCGTGCGTGAAGATGGCGCGAAAAGGAAAGTCTCGGACTGCGTTTTTTAGTTAGTACGGTAACCGTAGGCTATCGTACAGTACCGTACGCACCGTACAGGAGCCGGTACCACTGTGGCGCGATTATGCTGGCACCAAAGAACACTCAGATCTGAGCGCAAGCAGCTGCTTGCTCGACCATGTGCTCTCAACCTGAAGCCATTTCGGCCAGAAGCGCGGTGACTGGTACTGGTACCATGGTACTGGTAGAGTGCTCGAGCATACACGTGCATGTAGTACGCGACTGCACCACAACACCGCTGGTATTTCTGTTCTCTTTTCCTTTTGTTGCTGGTGCATGTACACCCAGACTAGACTGCCAGAGTAATAAGTATATATCCATCGCCATGCCCATCTCTTCCTCCAACACCGCCTCCCCTTTGAGGGTGGTTGCCCAAAGGTCAGGATCAGAAGTGCTGGAACTCCAGGATCCAAACAACAATGAGACGTTTCGAAATGTACACATGGTCAGCATGCAAACCATCGCTATTTCGTCGGCGGATGTTCCCAGGATCGACCAGTTATCCTACGAGTTTGCCGGATTCATGGCATTGAGGCATCTGAATCAAAGGAACTCTTCCATTGTGTCAGACCTAGCAGAAAGAATGAAAGGATGCGACATCAAGTTCACCTACGAGATGTCCAATACACAACGCAATCAATTGGTGGCTCTCAAGACAGTACAAGAAGTGGCCACTCGACCGGACATGCAGCTTGGTGGCACTTTTTCCAGGGAACAAGCAAGACCTGCGGCCATTATCGGTGCATCCAGTAGTGAACTTTCCCTGGCTATAGCCAATTTGGCAGGGATATACCAGATACCCCAAATCTCTGGATTGTCTTCAGCTCCCGTTCTGGATGACAAGTCAAGAGCGCCATATTTTTCAAGGACATATCCCACAAACCAGGCTGATGCAGATGCTCTCATGATATACTTGAAGTCTTTAGGTGTCTCTCATTTCGGGTCCATTTACAGCCGCGAAACTTATGGAGACTCGTTTGGCGAGGCATTGTCTGTCGCTGCCGCAAAACATGGACTCGTTAATTATTTCACAAGCTATGAGATATGGGGTGATCAGGTGATGCATACGATGTTGGAAGGCCTGCAGTATCTCAAGTCCACACAAGTCAGATACATTTTTGCCATTGTTTATAACCATCCTTTAAGCATGGAGTTCCTGCGGGAGGCAAACAAACTTGGAATCATCGGACACCCAGGCTACACATGGTTTCTGAGTGACAGTGCATCCTTTCTGACCACTAAAAATTTCCATCGGGAACTGGCAATAGATGCAGATGTTGCCAGAGCCATTAATGGAGTAGGAGTCTTACTTCCTGGAAACACTGTCCATCACAGGCTTCGAGAGACCCTTTTACATGACTATCAAAACCAGCAGCTCCAAGAAGAATTTGTAGCAGAACACCAACTTGAGTTGCTTCCTCTTTTTGACGACTTCAATTTTTCCAGTACATCGCTTCTTCCTTCAATCTACACTGGAATGGTATACGATGCCGTCGTGACTGTTGGGTTGGCAGCTTGCGAGCAATCAGACCGGTTCTTCTCCCCAGACAGTTTGTTAGAGTCCATCCGAAAGCAAGAATTTGAAGGAGCAACTGGCCATGTCGCTTACAACAATGTCACTGGGACCAGAGATATCCTAGGACTTCAATACAAAATCACCAATGTGGTTCTTGCAAACGACAGCCAACAGCTCACTCCGGAGGATATCAATTTCATTGTCTCAACTCCAGTGGCAATTGAGTTTCCTTCCAAGGTAGTTGACCTTGGTGTGGGGCCTTTCATTTACACTGATTACACAACATCTGCTCCCCCGGCACTGCCCCTTCTCGAAGTGGATTTGAAACTAATCCCTAAAGGGATCCAGGGCTTTGGTTGGGGACTCATGGCAGTCATCCTCTTTCTCTGTGCAGGCTGCATTGCCTTTGCCCTATATTACCGCAGAAAGCGAGCTCTTGCTGCAGCCCAACCTGCATTTCTGGTAATGATTGCCAGTGGATGTGTATTCATGGCTGCTGCCATTCTTCCGATGTCCCTTCAAGAGCCCATTGAGGAATTCAGACTGGACACTGCTTGTGTGTCCCAGTTATATTTGGTTTGCATAGGGTTCTGCATTTCCTTTTCGGCCCTGTTCTGCAAGCTGCACCGAATCAATAGGCTACATGAAGGAGCAAGACAATTCAGAAGGGTTCAAATTGAAGTCAAAGACGTCTTGTATCCGCTCGCCATTATGGTGATACTGAATCTGATTGTTCTCGTTACCTGGACATTTGTTGACCCATTGAGATGGAATCGTCGTGAACCAGAGTTCTCTAGAGATGCATTCAATAGAATCATCTCTACCTATGCTACCTGTACCAGCAGCAATGGAACCTCAGGGGCAGTCTTTGGTTCTTTCCTGTTTGCCATTAATTTTGTGGCACTGATATTGGCCAACTGGGAAAGCTACAAGGGTAGAGGTTTGCCTACAGAGTACAATGAAACGAAAAGGATATCACTTTCTATGTTTTCCCTCATTGAAGCTGCTGCAATTGGAATTCCCATCCTGTTGGCAGCTCAAGACAATCCAACTGGCTTGTTTCTTGTCAAGGCAATCTTGATCTTTTTCATTTGCCTGGCAGTTTTGGTCCCCATGTTCCTGCCTCTTTGGAATATTCAGACAGGCCGCGAATCTGCCACACGTTCAGTCGTTTCTGCAAGCAGTAACCAATTCAGGAAAGTAGTTGTGATGGGTCGAGAGACAAAAAGTACAGCAACGCAGCAAAATCGGTTCACATCGGCCAACAACGCATCTGACAGGAGCAAGGGTTTGAGGAAGACAGACCCAGAATGGAGCGATGATTTTTACCATGGCTAGCGAGATGTACTAGCGTTTTACTGCTACATACATGTTACTAGTAGCTAGTAGCATTGTTGTATGGTACTGAAAGTTGTTCCAAGCCAGCAGGAGCTCGAGGTTTGGTCGTTTCATTGTTTTACTGCTTCGCTGCTTTATTAGTTCCGGTGTGTCACGGTCCACGTTCCACAATGGCCTTTGGTGAAGAAGCAGCAATCCGCAACCATCAATGCTGTTCTCCAACGGCTCTCCCAGCTTTTGGCTCACAAGTGGTCCAAGCCCTACTCTGTGGTTCGCTCTTTCATCTCGGCCAGGTTGAGCATAGCTCTTGCCCGTGCCACGACAATGTGTTTGAGAGGCTCCCGTGTCTCAGCTCTCAAGGTTTCCAAGCGTTGGGATGACTGTGGTGCCCTCGCTCTCTTCCGCTAGTCTTGCTCCTTTGCTCCTCCCTGCACTCCTGCCTTCATCCCTTTCCTTGGTTTCCATGTTGTCCTGCTTGCGCACTTGATTGCCTGCCATGCGTTCCTGCGTCGTGCCCTCCCCTTGAGCTCTGTCTCCATCCTCATCCTAGCTCTCTCTAATCCATCGTAAACCCGACTTTTCCCCGCAACCATCAACACACAACAGAGTACAACACAGCTTCCCTTGCTGGAAATAAATCGGTTGGAAGACAATGGACATGGCGTCCAAGGCAGACGGCGGCAACACGCCTGTGAAAGGCAAGAAGAACGCCTTGGAGAAGGAAGGTGCAAGCATCGTCCTTTCCAACAAGAAGCAGAAATCTGAAGAAGCTGTTGCAATGGGGCCAGGGGAAAGTGATAGGGCACCTGAAGCAGAGCCAGCGGCCAGCATGTCGGATGCACCTGCTGCCGCTACGGTCCTCTCTTCGGAAGAAATCATGAAGATGTTTGAAGCGCAGTCTCTGGCAAACGAGGCATTGAAGGCGGACATGAAGGCATTGGAGGCCGGAACCAAGGCATTGGAGGCACGCCTGGATGGAATCGCTGGAGCAATGGAGCCTGCAACGGAGTACGCTCTTTTTGAGACTGCCATCTATGAGTTTGTGGAAGCCAAACACCTGCAGGAGAGGAAGAAAATCAAGTATCAGGTATCCCGACTTTGCAGCTGGATCCTTTACAATCTGTTTGGTGAACAAAAACCGGATCCTCCTGCTGTTCCGAGCATTCGCAGCGAGCAGGAAGTGCTGACGTTTCTACTAGCCGCAATGGCGGGGATTAGCGCTTAGTCGCGGATCCTCTCTACCTCTTGCGTTGGTCTTCGGAGGAACGCCATACGACAATTCACAATGGGAATCTCCTTGTAAGTTTGTTCGTGCCGAACGAGGAGACTACCAGGAAATTTACGTTGAAGAAAGAACGTATTGTGCAAAGTTGGGGAGAGATTAGAGTCGAAGCTAAGGCATACGTGCAGATGGGAGGGAAGCCAGCCACGGTTAAAGATGCAATCCAGGACATTGTTGCTTCTATCCCTGAAGGCGTTGACCATATCAAAGCCAGCATTGCTTTCGTCGAAAAAGGAATTGATGAGCTCAAAATGAAACTTGTACTGAACGCGATCCAGCCTCCCTCGACTGCAGATTGAACTAACATAAACTAAACCATGGGGGGAAAACGAAGACAAGGGACATCCACGGGTGCTTGGTAAAGAGTATTATGATTATGAATTGACAACCACACTTGCTGGCTAGTTACGACCACACTTGCTAGCAAGTGCTACCGGTACCATACCTCTAATAGCAGTCCTCCAGCTTGTTACAGTACAACCACAAGTCAACCCAACGGTACTAGTATGTCACTCCACGATGGCACATGGGTGTGCTGCACCTTCGGACTGTTTTGCCAATTCTCCCTTATTCTCCCTTATCCTCCCTTAAATTTTACAACAATCTCTTACTTTCAAACTAAAAAGCTTAATTTTCACTCAAAAGTCTTACTTTCAAACTAAAAATCTTACTTTCAAACTAAATATCTTAATTTTCACTCAAAACCGAAGAATGAACGTCCCCAATCCATCAGGCCCCTCATAGTTCCCTCTAACCGCGCAGTAAAAAGGAGCGCTCATCATACCGGCACAGTACTAGTACTAGTACCGCTGTTGTTGTCACGAAGATGGCCGTTCTGCATCGCTACTTGTCGTTTTATTATCTTGCATTACATGTAGTATTGATAGATTTGTGGCTTGAAGAGGCGTTGTGCTTTGCTGATTTGTCCCGATACGACAAGGGTTCGGCAAGGAGCACAACTCGAGTAGCCAAGGCGCCAATAACGCCTTTGAGAGAAAGAACGAATGATGATGCCACAATCTTTGACTTGGATTATCGCGGTGCCAACGAATTCATCGACGCCCATTATGGTAAAGCAGACTTGGCGTGGCAAAACAAGGACAATTCAGCATCTTACTTTGAGGCTTCTACATGTGCGAAAGCAGAGCAAGTTTGGAATGCCAGAAAGGGAGTGAGAATCTCAGATGATCAACCACTACAACCTCCCAGCCTTGATGGGAATGGTTTCTTCTTGGTACCACACCCGACGCAAGTGAAAGATTTCACAGATTTCTCTCAAGTCCAAGAGGTGTATCTTCCAGAGTTGGAGGCGATATTGCAAGAACAGTTTGACATTACTTCCGACTCCCATCACGTTTTGTTTTGGAATCCAGTGCTACGCGGACAAGCCATGCAATCATCACAAGACCGAGTGTTTGATGAAGCCACCCAAACCATCCAAGCATCCGCCATTTCGACCACAGCCAACATGGTTCACATTGATACCGACATTGGTGCCCACGAAACACCCGAAAGCTTTTTGAAAATCATGTACAAGAATCGTGTCACGACAACGCCAGGCACCCAAGAAGAGCCCTCACTCTCACAACTCACCGATGCTATTGCACACGGTCAACGATTCGTCATTCTCAATTTTTGGAGAAATGGAGATTCCAACAATCCCATCATTCAAACTATGCCGTTGGGGTTATTTGTGCCACACTATGATCCCAATTCAATGGACGCCTTTCCAACGGCACAACCTTGTCGAGACCAGAGCCGTTGGTATTACTATCCCAACATGACCTACCAGGAAACTCTGGTCTTTAAACAGTACGATCGAGATGCCAGCTATGTGTCGGATATTTGGCACTCGGCGCTCCGAAATCAACAACCACAACAACGAGCTGTGCCTCCGAGGCTTTCCTTTGATATTCGTGCCCTGGTCGTGTCCAAGACAGAGACTGTGGCGCCGGAACGGGATCGCTACTCTCACCATCGTGTGCGTCCCATCATGGACTTTTCCCAGTCCCAAGTCTTTTGTCAGGAGCAAGACAAACGACAGACGGAGCGGGATACGACGAAACCATAGATGCAAGAGACATGCCGTACTTTGACGGCAGGAGGCTTTGGAGGGGCGTAGCGAAAGATCACCATGAGCACAAGCTTTTCTATGGCAACCGCACTGAGTGCAGAAAAACTGTGTCCGACCGCAACGCTACGTTTGTTGGCAATTCAACGAGATTCATTTGTCTACGGTCTGGTGGGCTGATGGATTCCCTTGACACTCAAAACTTGCTAACACTTGGTACCGGTACAGAATAGCCGTAGAGACCTTGCAACATCTCCATCGGTGATGGTCAAGGAGCTTCGAGGATAGCCGCGCACACCGGCAGTCGAGAAGGTTGGCGGATGCTGTATAGCCCAAATTACCGTCCTAGAGCTCCCGGTGTTACGGAACTAGAGTGTGTTTCCTTTCCTCTTTCTCTCTATTAATGTGGATGGAAACGCACAGGATAAATGGAAGGCGAAACCGACTGAGCAGTCGAATTTCATCTTTTCCATCATTCATTCACTACGCGAACCAATCGTTCGATATTCGTTGGGTTGAAACGGTTGGAGCGAGAGTGGTCCACGGCCAATACTTCCACGATGATGCTTCAGCAAAATGAATTCTCACAAAGCCATTCTCTTCACACACCAATAGCCGTACCGGTAGCGCGATTCTTGATATCTCAGCAAGCTACTTGTAGGCGGGTTCGAAGGAGATTCGTGACCATGGCGCTTACCAGTGAGGAATTGCATGCGCTTTCAAACCTATTGCCTTCGTTATTGCTGTTGTTCGTGCTATCCTGCATTGCCAGTGCTGTGATTCATTTCCGTCCATCATTGCAATCATTCGAGCTGCAAAAGTTGAGAAGTTCACTCCACAAAGAACTCCAAACTTGGTATTCAAAAGTCAGTACCTTAGCAATGAGAAACACCAACAATCTTCTCAAGTTGGTTGAAGACTTGTGGTGCAACTCACTTCAGGTGGCTGGCACTGCTGCAAACGTATTTCTGGGGTCGCTCAGAGACTTGTCCAAATCACTGCAAGTGGCTGGGAATGCTGCAATCTGTCTTTGCAAACGAACCAAGAAAGATCCAGCAGATGATCTGATCTGTCCCATCACAAGAGAGCTGCCCTGGGTCCCTGTGATTGCTGCGGATGGAAGAACCTATGAAAAAGAGGCCATTGAGACCTACTTCAAGACACAGCGGGAAAAGGGACTAACAGTCAAGTCAGTTATCACCAACGAGCCAATGTCTGACACTCTGATCCCAGCCCCACACATCAAAAGCTTGATTGTCACATTGATTGAGAACCAAGCCATCCAGGGTGATGTGGTTGAATTCTGGCATGAAAAAGCCCAGCAAGTGAAGCAGAAGGAATCATTGCTACAAAGGGCGAATGATGGTGACAGTGAGGCCATGTATGCAGTAGCCGTCTACTGCAAGGGTGGCATCAAAGGCTTTCAGAAAGACCCACAGCTGGCCTGTGAATGGTACCGAAAGTCACATGAAGCTGGCAATGTGAAAGGAACTGCGGGTCTTGGGGTGGCATTTGTTAAAGGAAGCACCATAACGAAGTCCCAGCAGCTGGGAATCCATTACCTGACTGTGGCTGCAACTGCAGGATCAGATTTTGCTGCTCTTGAGCTTGGACTTGCCTTTGCAAATGGACGCATTGGTGTGCCTGTGAATGAGAAGGAAGCGATCTTTTGGTTGCAGAAGAGCTTGGGAGTTTGTACGCACTCACACATGGCCAAGGATTTGACACTGAATGCCCAAAAGCTATTGGACAAACTGTTGAAAATTCAGAATACAGAGAAGAAGGCATGACTCTACTGTTGTGACACGGATGCAATAGCGAACAGTTTCCTCAGGTCTAAAATTGGACAAAATAGGACAGAATGAATCCCCCCCAAAGTAAATGCCATAGGCTCCACGCCACCACCTGATTTCGAATCCGAGTAATGGCGGTAATTCTATAGTCCAGCACGTACTTTGATGTGTTGCGACGTTTTGAGCGTCAATGCCACGAGCACTACCTGGTATGTACTGCCACCAACACCCGATTACCAAACGACAACTTGTTGTATGGGTAGAATCTTTTAAAATAAAAGTGCATAATAAAAATTAAGAGTAAGATGTTTTAATGGCTTAACCGATTTATATGCTGAATCATCTGCTTTTAGCGTTAGGGGGGCATTTCACAGACTAGAGCTAGCCGTTCAGTGCCGTTCTCACAGCATGGGCTTTGGCCCGATTTTTGAAATTGGTTGGAGGCTTTCTCTCACAAATTCAGAAGCAGGAAGAATTGACCATGACACGGACCAGGGAGGAGATGATGTTGACCAAGGAGATCAATGAGCTCTCCTTGAAAGAACTCGTCACTCTTCGCCGAAAGTTACGGGAATGGAAAGAAACACAACCATCATAGCTGTTCTTAACGAGCCAAAAATGGGCATCCGGGTGCGTTGGAATGCACCCCTGCTTGTCGTGCTGACGTGTCCCAAGAAACCTGGCTAAAAATTCTGCGATGCTGCGGTTCGCAGCCCTTGATTGTAAGCACGTGCTAGGGCTGCGAACCGCAGCATCGCAGAATTTTAAGCCTAAATATTCTTAGGGCAAAGCCAGGCCAACCAAAACTGAAACTAACTCTCACATTTTGCTCAATAATCGTAACAAGACTTGACTAACAAGACTGATCTTTACAAGACTAGTGCACGGTCGAGTGAAGGAATGTTATCGTTTAGTTGTACCCACATAGCAACATGGACGCAATTATCGAAGGATCGTTTGCCCAGGTGAGGGCCTTCCATGAGCAGGGATATGCTGCCGAAGATGAGCTTTGGGATTTGTATCAGCAGTATTTCCTTCTTGTCTTGAGTTATCTGTGTCTTACCACGGCCCTGAAGCATCCTCGCAATCCAGCCTACTTCGAGCAACGTTTGGCATGGGAAGAATACGCATACAAGCACACCGTTCGTGGGACGTTCAAACGCAGATTGAGGATGACGCGTGATTCTTTTGATCTACTACTCAGTTATCTAGTGAGCCATTTGACGGTGAATGAGAAGATGGCTAGTCTGCGTGGCGGAATGATTATCCCAGAGCTTTCCTTGTACAGCACAGTCCGTTGGTTGGCAGGGGGCTCATATCTTGACATTACCGATATCGTGGGAGTGTCAGTGTCTTCTTTCTACCGTATTGTCTGGAAGACAATTGTCGCAATCGTCAAGGCCCCGGAACTATCCATAAGCTTCCCCACAACAGCTGATGAAATTGCAGACAACCTTGCCGGTTTTGCTGAGATCAGCTTCAATCAAGCAATAACAAACTGTGTTGGAGTTTGCGACGGATTCCTTCTTCGAACCAAGGTCCCAAGCAAGGAGGAAGCCGGCAATGTGCGATGTTTCTTCTCTGGGCATTATCAGTGTTACGGTGTGAATGTGCAAGCTGTCACGGACCATTTGTGTCGATTTCTTTACATTGCCGTGGCTGGTCCTGGAGTGGCAAAGGATCGCGACGCAGCTGAGCATTGTGGTATGACCGAACTGGTAAACAATCTACCCCATGGCATTTGCGTCATTGGCGATGCTGCCTACGAGCCCTCTGAACATATGGTTCCCATTTATCAGGGGCAAGACAAACGCAATGCCAAGTATGATAACTTCAACTTTTACGCTTCTCAGTTGCGCATTCGTGTTGAAATGGCCTTCGGAATGATGTGCACGAAATGGGGTATATTGAATCGCCCGTGCATGTGTAAGTTGAAGAATGTCAAATGGATGGTGCAAGCAATTGGCCGACTGCACAACTTTTGTATTAACCAAAGGTTGATCGACAACGCTATTGATGCCGATGAAGAACACTGGTCGCGTGCAGTTCGTGAGGGTAAGGCCTATCTTCCCTCCACTCCACATCAAGATGGAGATCCAATCAACTTAGATGCTCTGTTTGTTGATGACAACGTCATGACCTTCCGTGGCCACTCTGAGCTCCGCGAAGCTATGGCCGATCGTGTTGCTTCCCTTGGCTTAACACGTCCTGCCTCCAATCGCATCAACAACGACGAGTAAGTAGTAGAGTAGTAGCCTAACAAAATAGTAGTAGAAAGACATGTTTTACATCTAGCCACAACTGTGGTATTCACTATTATCAATTAACAACTAATCCTACAACTGCTCTCTTCAAAGCTTGTCAAACTCTTGCTCTTTGTTGCTACCATCATCCTCATTGCCCTCGCTCAATTGCATCATCGCGCGCTCTTCTTGGTCATGGCTTGGTGGGATGAGATGGCAAACAATTGACTCTCCAATGCCAATCTTAAGTTCAACTTCCAGATCCCGAACACGTTTAGCAATATTGCGCAGCAACTGCAAAGCTCCTGGTCTTGTGCTTTCACGTAGAGAGATAACACGCTCTGCCAAACGATCGTACTCAGCCCACTGTCTGGTGATTCTCTCCTCTTCGATTCTGCTGGTGTCACTTTCAGCTCTTGCTGTTTGGATCGCGATGATTCCGTTGCTGGTGTTATGGAAAATTCTTGCCATGTTTTCATTGGTTCGTGTAGCCGTCGACCCTGTAAGACTACTTGTGCTGCTGGTCAAGATTGAACCGCTTTCAGGGAGCTTTGTGGAGTCAGAGCGAAGGTCTTCCTTCAGATATTGTTCAAAGGCCCCTTCAATAGCAGGGTGCTCGAGGCACATAAGATCAATGTAATAGGCTACTTCAGGAGGAACCTTGCAGCATTGGCGAACCGTGAGAGTCTTCATCCGACAAAAGGACCAAAAGTCGCTGCCATGGGAACCTGATGCTTTCATTGCAACAAAACGCACTTTCTCTCTTGCTCTCATGGCATCATTCATCATCTGAGCACAACTTGCCTGAGTTGAATGGTCAAAGTCATTCAGCTCTGGCTGATTATTGCACCTGATATCATGCATTCGTTCATCCTCATCCTCATTACTGAAATGAAGGAGACACAACACTTCGTTGTTTTCTCGATCATTGACAAACTCTGAAACATCAAGCCAAAACTGCTTCACAGGGCTTCCACCGCCAGAAGCTTCGAAGTCATCTCTTGTCTTCCTGTCATTCAACGTGATGAACCGTTCGCAATGATCAGGATGGAAGCAAGCATTAATGATTCGCAGATAAGTGTGGCGCTTCTTATCTTTTGCCAGTGTGGTGCTGTTGGGTACCTCCGACAAATGATAGGCGTCACCTTGGATGCAGCGACTGGCAATCTTCAACCTGCAGTCGAATTTGCGAGCGCAGACAAGCTGCTCAACACGAGGCTGAGCTCACACCTTTGCACCCAAAGTTGGAAGCCAGCTTTCGCAAGTTTTCACTGCTCAGGTCTTGCAAAACAAACTTCTCATAATTCCCTTGTTCTTCACTGCTGACTTCGATGTATTGGGCTAGCTTCCAAGGACCAGGATTCTCTTTATTGCGTGGGTTCATCTCTTCGCCCATGACAAGACGCTTTCTATGTTCGAAGCGAAAGGCTGCCAATGCCGGGGGAAGTGGTTGCTTGTTCCTCGTTGCACTTTGTTTCTTTTCGCCAGTGGGTGTTGCCCTGCCAGTATTGCCCTTAGCTTTCTTCTTATTTGTCTTCCTCACTGTTGCGTTGGTAGTCACAGCAGAAGCAGAAGCATCACCAGTAGCGTCTTCAAAAGTATCTTGGTCACAAGGTACTGGTTCATCAGCCTCTGCTCTGATTGGAGAAAAGTTTGAAGCAGCAACTGGCCATTCCACTCATGGGGGAAGCCCCGCAACACCACTGTGAGGTAGAGGCGTCCCAGGAACATATTCCATTTGATAGAAATTCATTTGTCTGTGATGCTCTTCAGAAGCAGCTGTTCTCTGGTAGCTATTACGGAAGTTCCTTTGCCACTGTGGCACAGCAACTGGATTGGTCCGTGCTGGGTAAGGTGGAGGCGGAACGCCCTGGCCTGTTTCCGCGGGAGGGTATTGCTTGTGATGGAATGGCACCTGCTGCTGGAGCTGGTGCATTTCCTGTAGATAAGACGTTTCCTTTGGTGCTGCTTTTTGGCGATCGGCCTCTGCTTCTTCCTGCCTGGCTCTTGTTTCTTCTTCGGTTAGTTGCGCAAGCAAGGGAACATCACCTTCTTCAAGGGCAGTACTCGTATCATCCTCATCCTCCGATGAACTTTCAAGGGCCTGTGACAAGGACAGCTCAGCCTTTCTGCGCTTCTCAATAGCTGCCTTTTTGTACCGAGCCAGCAACTCCTCATCTTCCGTGTCATCTTCCGAGTCTGAGCTCAACATTATGTTCACCTTCGCCTTGGCTTTCTCTTTCTCTTTCTCTTTGGGTTTCTCCTGCATCATCATCTTGGCTACGAGAAACAGCACTTATTAGCACTTATCTGCAACCTCTAATGATGAATATCTTTATCGGATTATGAGGAGCAGACCAGCAAAAGTCAGCGAAAGTCAACGAAAGTTACAGCGACGTTGAATTGTGCGTTTATTTATCTTTTTTTGGGTACTCTAATACATCTATTCTGACACTCCAACCAATGGCGCTCCTCCAATTTTCTTACTTAGCCTTTCAACTGATGCGTCTCCGCATTTTGCTTCCATGATTAGAGCTTCCTCCACGTATGTTCTGGACTTGTTAATAGCTTTCTGCAGTTTTCTTCGTCAACCCAAAAGTGTTCTGTACGCGAAGTCAACAAAAAGCCACATTTAGTGAGCACTCACAGAGTGGCGAGGCCGGCATGCTTGGGGAACAAGAACCGCACCTCAGGGAATAAATGAGTCTGGGAAAGCCCCAACACCAGAACCAGTTTCCCATGTAGGACATGTCCGATGTGACATGGCTGGCGTCAGAAAATGTTCCGTTGGGGTGCGGTGAGTACCACACTGCGCGATGTGATAGGAACTGCTATCAGCCAACAAGTATCACAAGAAAGATCCGGCGGCTGATCTGATCTGTCCCATCACCAGAGAGCTTCCTTGGGTCCCTGTGACTGCTCAAGATGGAAGAACTTATGAAAAAGAGGCCATTGAGACTCATTTCAAAACACTGCAGGGAAAAGGACTACCAATCAAGTCACCCATCACCAATGAACCCATGGGGGGTAACCTCCTGCCCGTCCCACACATCAAGAGTCTGATAGAGACATTGATTGACAATAAAGCCATTCAAGGTGATACATTGGAAGCTTGGAATGAAAAAGTGCAGGAGCAAAAGACAAAAAAAGACCTGTTGCAGAAGGCCAATGAGGGAAGCCGTAGGGCTATGTTCAAAGTGGCACAGCACTACGCTGCAGGATCTAATGGTTTTGGAGAAGATGCAAAACTAGCCTTCAAATGGTACAAAAAGGCACATGCTGCTGGCAATGTGAAAGCCACATCATTTCTTGGGGATGCCCTTGTAAATGGAAAAGGTGTTCGGAAGTCTCGTCGACTTGGCAGTTTGTACATTACTCAAGCTGCAACTGCAGGTTCTGACTTTGCTGCATATTCTCTGGGAAAAGCATTTGCTACAGGATCATGGAGCTTGCCTGAGAATGAAGATGAAGCCATCTTTTGGCTCCGAAAGTGCTTGGGAGATTGTGCTCACTTTCACATGACCAAAGATATGAAAAAGAAAGCCCAAGGACTTCTGGAGGAACTGAGGAGGACTACGATTCGTCCTCGGACTCTGATTCATCACAATCTGACTATTCTGATTCTTCAGAGTATTACTAAGATTTCGGCATTGTGTGTGCTTGCTTTCCACCTACGGTGTTTTCATGAAGGCGTTTTCTAGCTTCAATTGAACATCTCGAGCCTTGGCTGTACCAAATTAGAACCGGATATTACACTGTAGATGGAACTGCGTAGTAGTTTGGAGGTTACCGTACGGGCCAGCATATTGGCCAGTAGTTGTGTCCGCAATAGAGTGGACCTATTTGAGTATTTTTCTTTTAGTCTTGTTGCCACTTTTCCGTTCGAGGGTGTTGTCATTCTCGCCTCCGAGAATCGGTCCTCAAGGCTACCAGTTTTTAGTCTATGCTGGTACTGCGCTTCTGAATGGATTTTTCATTTAAATGAGAGTCCGTAAAGGATCAAATCTATCTGATAAATTAGACTAAGGTGAAGATTCTGTATACATAGTCTAGCTCGAAGTGGTGGCACTTCGAGGTCGCGTTGGGTTCATTGCTTGCTGGTCGCTGGCTTGTTCGCTTGCTTTTGGTTATTGCTTGATAATTAGTTCGTTAGTCTAGTACCCAAGCACTGGATCGACTGGGTTGAGAAGATCTTCTCCACAGAGAAAACGTGGTAGATTCTCATTGAGAAAGAATTGTGTGGCCTCGTGCATAAAGGTTGCCGTTTGATCCATATTGTGTGGGGAGATGAGCAGGTTGTCGAGGTCCCACATTTCGCTCGATTGCGGGATTGGTTCTTCGGTAAAGACATCCAGTGCGGCACCCTTGAGTTTGCCCGATTTCAACGCTGTGATCAATGCCGCTTCATCGACGACGGGTCCACGTCCCAGATTGATGAATACAGCATTTTCCTTGACGGCTTCAAAGGCTTGCGCATTGACCATGCCTCGTGTTTCAACCGTACTGGGTGCCGAGCAGACAATGTAATCGGATTCGCTCATGAGTTGATTCAAACTGGCCTTGTCGGTCCCGTAGACAACATCACAGAGTGGATCGTTTTTGGAAAGGAAAGGGTGTCGTCGAAGTGCCACAATGCGCATTCCATAGACACTGGCCAATTTGGCACATGCCTGACGAGCGATTGCAGGAAGAAAGGAAAGAAAGCGTTGTTTTGAACGCATGATGGCGACGAGGCGAATTGATGTGTTGTAATCCGTATTCATGACGGTGAACGAACATGTTGCGAAGAGCGAAACAGAAGAGAAGAACGGAATGAGCACACAATGACGGAAACGAGACACCGCTGGTACCCAATCTTTGCTTTAGCATTTTTGTGGACCGTTCTTGTTCCTCTTTGAGAGTTTTACTTACTTTTCCAATATCACCGTATCCCACAATTCCCATGGTTTTTCCACGCAATTCTTCGACATCATACTTTTCCCAATTCTTGTTGGCTTGTTGACGCATCAATCGTGGCAGGTCCTTGGCAAAATAACTGCAGGCCATCATGACGTATTCGGCCAAGGACGACGAGAACTGTCCCTTGGCATTCGTAAGGGTCACATTTCTACTACGATTGCACAGCTCTTGCAATTCCTCGGATTCGACAAAATCAATTCCCGCCGAACGACAATGAACCCATTCAATGCTGGGAAAGGCGGCCAATACCAACGGCAATTGCGATGCGGCACGAGGACAACTGGGACACATGAATGCTACATTCGGTTGTTGTTGTGGATCCTGCATCAAGTGTTCAAAGTCTTGTAGACTGGTACCAATGCCCAGTAGACTGGAGGAAAGCGGCAATTTGCCATTGTGAAGCAGTTCATCGGCGGGTTCGTTGGGATCGGCCAAAGAAATGATTTTGGCTTCGCGTTGGATGCTTTCTGGAGAAATATCGAGCAAGTAGGAATAGGTCCCCTTGTCGCTGGTTTCTCGATTCCAAAACTTGTACTGTCGTTGGGCAGGATCAGCCCAACTTTTCCCTTGCTGATTGCTAGTAGACGACGAGATTACGGCCGAGGCATGAAAGTACCGTCCGAAAGTGCCATGGATTTGTTGTTGCCTTTGCGGGGCCAACCGAGAAGCGATACTTCTCGCTAATCTCATCTTCCTTGGTGATTCTATTCTTTTTGGAATTCAATTTACTGTAGCAGGATCAGGAATCGAATCTTTGCAGAGGCAATAATATATACAAGCAGGGAACGCAATATGAAAGGACGGACTTCAAAGAGCGTCTTTGAAGCATGTGATTGCGATCTTCGCTCCAAGAAAAAATAAATGAGGGTGAACAAAACGCTGACGTGGTGTTGGCGTGGATTCTTCAACCGTGACTAACTAATCGTGACTCAAGTCGAGAGAAACAGCTGCCGACAAGCTGCTTTTTGCCTCAATCAAGCTGTAACTGAAGCAGCTGCGTCGGCCGAAGGAAAGGAGAGAAGACACAGACAGCCGAAACCAATCCTCCTCATCATATCATTCACATCTCAATTCATCACCGTACTGTAGCCAGGAAACGGCTCCTTCTCTTCTCATCCCATCCCATCGTCTCACAATCTTCTCCAAGAAAGGGTGCTGTTAAGAAGGTTGCTTTGTGCCGACCACCAAGCCAAAAGAGCTCCTCTGAAAGAATTTCCCATCTTCGTTCCCCTCTACTAGCTAGCTAGTCAGTGATGACTTCAACCTCCACCACTCCCATTATTATGGATGTGAGCAGTGAACGAGACGCTCGCAATCGCTTGTGTCGCCTCTTGAACACTCTAGTAGTGTTGGACAACAACAGCAACAACCACAAATCGAACCACAAGAGTACCAAAATTACGTCTCAAATCGCCGAACTCGTATTGGAATATCCTCGCTTGACGTTGGAGTATGTGCGGCATCACCGCAGTGGAGACGAACTCACCATTCTGGGGTTTTATTTACAGTCTTCTACTGTTGCCGATTCGACGATTGAAGAATTTTGTCGCGTCTTTCCCAAATTATTGACGATCGAATGCAACCAGGACCAACCGGGGAGACTTCCGTTGCATGCCATTTGTGGGTTGGGCATGCAACGACGATCCTTGATTCCCGTAGTGTGCAGTCTGTCGCCGCAAGCCACTTCCAAACGAGATCAGTTCAACAATCTCCCCATTCACATTTACTTTCTCAATCATCGTCATGAACAATTGGAAACTCAAAACCGACAGCAAGACGTAGTAGTAGAAGAAGATGACAATGAGGATGATCCACAACCACAACAACAGCAACAAGATCCATCTGTACGGGCCGAACTTTCCGCATTGATTGAAGCCTATCCAGAAGGAGTCTTTTGTGGTTCTCAAATGGGACTTCAACCAATCCAATACATCCTTTCCGACAACAATCTACTATTGACACATCAAGAACAACAACAAAGAACTATATTTACCGATACCTTTCACAGTCTCTCCAATGTACAAATCACCAGTCAACTCTTTCTGCCATATGTTGCTGCCGAAAGCTTGGGAATTCCGCAGGCCAATCTCTTGACGCAGTTTCTACAGCGCGTCCAACGACTCAATTTTAGACCCATCGGATGGCCTTTTACACCCGAAGGATGGGTCCAATTCATGGCCAGTTTATCGACGTATACCGAACTCGAACAGTTGGAAATTACGATTCCCTATTACTTGTTGGAGAATCACGAGGAATGTTATCAAGTCGTCGTGGAGACATTGCCGCAACTACTAACGTTGGAATCGTTGATTCTCTGTTTTCCAACCAATGTCCCACCGTTGCGACGGGCGGTGCGCAATGACAATGACGACGATACTACGACTACTCATGTGGCCGACATGGCCGTGCCCATTGCGGCACTCCTACAACAACAGCATAACAACAACCACAACCACAATTTGCAAGAACTCATTGTCCGAGATGGCATTGACATGGACCCGACACTGATTCTACAAGCGGTTGCAAACAACAACAACCACAACAACAACAACAACAACCACAGCCATCATTTAAAAATACTCGATATTCGATCCGTACGCAACAACTTTAACGTCGCACAACCGCTGGCACACTTGTTGCAGCACTCGCGACTCGAATCATTGGCCATGAGATACATTACCATGGAACCACGACGCGTTGTCTTTCAAGCATTGGCCGGCAACACACATCTCAAATCAATTCGTCTTCCCGGGCTGGTGGAATCCACAACATCTGCAGCGCAACAAGAAGAGGACCATTTCAGCCGCTTGTCATTGGTATTGCAACACTACAATGCCACATTACAAGAAGTGCAGTGCTTGGGAGCGTCCTTTCAGGATGTGTCGGGAAAGGAACATGCCCAAGTTCAACAATACGCATTGCTGAATCGACATGGAAGAGTGCACGTGCGACGGGAATCGTGTTCGTGTCACGATGTTCTCAAACTCGTGCAGCACGTCAGAGTTGCGGATTCTCAAAAACAATTGTCCATTGTGTATGGGCTCTTGCGAGAGGCTCCTGTGCATTGGTGTTGTCTTTCTTCGAATTGATATATAGTTAGTTGTTGATAAATAATTATTGATTAATTGCGAGGTGCCCACTCCAGCGTTCTTTCTCTACAGGAAGCTTCGATTTTATTGATTCAAACGCGCGCCACACTTCTCAGTACATTTCTACACGAGCTCTCGTAGAAATGTACCAGAAAAGCCGGCACGCGTTTGAATCAATAAATTCGAAGCTGCTCGTAATACGGTACTAGTAGCTAGAGGCGCAGTCTGCTGTTTTTTAACTTTTAAATAAGTCAGCGGAAGCTGCGATACCTCGGCAGCAAGACAGATAGAAGAAGGAGGATCATGTTCGAGATTGCACCCATCTTTCAAGCCAGCCCTGGCGACAACACACGACTACGTCGTGTGTTGCCGCCCGGTATCATTCATTCCCTCATTGCAACCTTCTTTATTAAGCTAGCCCTGGCGACAAACACCCGACTACGTCGTGTGTTTGCCACCCGCTACTCTATAATTTACCAGCTGCCATTCCCTTATTGTAACTCTAAGCTTTACAGCTCCTGCTGGCTTATTTTGTGTTGTGCTGATTGCACAACCTTAAATATTAATGATTTATTCCTACCCCTAACTTGTATTGAACCATCAATTGTTCAGTTTTGTTGGCTTATGACTATCTCTATCCTTATACTTTGGCTTCACCGGAATAGGAAATAGAGAAATAGGAAATAGCATAAGTCAGCGGGAGCTGCATCCCTCGGCAGAAAGACAGATAGAAGAAGGAGATCAGTTGAGATTGCATCTTTAAGCAGCCCTGGACCCGTCGTGGTGTTGCCGCCCGGTATCATTCATTCCCTCATTGCAACCTTCTTTATTAAGCTAGCCCTGCGACAACACCCGACTGTCGTGTGTTGCCGCCCGCTACTCTATATTTACCAGCTGCCATTCCCTTTATTGTAACTCTAACCTTTACAACTCCTGTTGGCTTATTGTGCTGTTGTGCTGATTGCACTAACCTTTAAAAATATTAATGATTTATTCTACCCCTAACTTGTATTGAACCATCAATGTTCAGTTCTGTTGACTATCTCTATCCTTATACTTTGGCTTCACCGGAAGGAATAGGAAAATTCGGCTTTTTTCAGCGTTCGTCTCTGTTTCCTCAGTTTGCTGGCTACTTTGACGAACACATGCAATCCAGCCATTGTAGCCAGCTACGGTACCGCGTCGGTACCGTAGGCAGATAGTTACATCGATCCGTGACAGTGGCAACAGTACCGAACACACTCAGGTCCGCTTTACTAGTACACTCCGGTACCGTACCATGCATTGGATCCTATGACGAATACATGCACAACCGAACATTGTCAATCCAGCCATTGTAGCCAGCTACCGTAGAGTTCATCGATCGGTGACAGTGGCAACAGTACCGAACACACTCATGTTCGACTTTGCTCGCTACACTCCGTTACCGGTACCTCGCATTGGATCCTTATGACGAATACATGCACAACCGAATATTGTCAATCCAGCCATTGTAGCCCGCTACCGTACAGTTACATCAATCGGTGACAGTGTCAACAGTACCGAACAAACTCATGTTCCGCTTTGCTGGCTACACTCCGTTACCGGTACCTTGCATTGGATCCTTATGACGAATACATGCACAACCGAACATTGTCAATCCAGCCATCGTAGCCAGCTATCGTATAGCCAGTGGCAACAGTACTTGACTTGCGCATACAGGAAAATGGGTACCGACACAGGAATCATCACCAAAACAGTAGGAAATAACAAGAAGGGATGAATCCGGTAGGAGGATCCACTCTCTTGTGTGTTGTTGCCTCTTCCGGTGGCTGTTGCCTTTCAATGACTTGACGACGATAGGCTCCTCTGTTCAGGCTGTTGGTAGGGCTGGAGTTAACAGAGCCTCCTCCTCCGTAGCGGTAGCCTCGTTCGTTCGTTCGAAAAGGAGTCCTCGACAATGGTATTTCCTCAGTCATCAGCAGTAAGAGAATAGAAAGTAAGAAATAGATATGGTTTTCTCTTCTCTTCTGATACTGAAGAAAACCGGCGACTTACTCTTGCTTTTCAAATTGCACCAACTTGGCCGTCATGGGCTGAGAACTGACTGCCATCCCACGGTCCATAGGATTCAATGAGGGATGGCTTTCGAATCTGCACCAGAGAAGGACGGCTTGAGTGAGGCTTGGATAATAATAGAGGTGCGATCGATCGATTCGAATAATTAAAATCAACTCACCTGTTGACGGCCGAGCTCGGAATTCTCTCCTGTTTACCATAGGAATTGAATGAGGGAGAGAAGTCAGCGCTGTACCTTCAATTAACACTCTTGATAATAGGCTTACCTCGAATCGATTGGATCGATCGGCCGATTGGATAAAGCACTCACCATGCATTGTTGTCGGCCAAGCTTGGATTTACCTCCTGTTTACCATACGAATTCAATGAGGGAGAGAAGTCAGTGCTGCGCCTTCAATAATGGACTTTCGCTCGACTACGATTGGTTTATCCTTAACCTTAGTAACTTCAACGGTTCTTTTATCCACGAATCGATCTAAATCTTTCGAAGCACATGACCGTTGATTCTGCAACTGAAGTGCGGCTACTCTATTTTCCACAGTAAACGCCGGCAAATCGATTTCAGAGTGCAACTGAGGGGGTAACCAAAAGGTGCGTCGTCTCATGAGACGTAATAGGAAATAGGAAATAGAAAATAGGAAATAGGAAATAGGAAATAGGAAATAGCATTAAAGGGGTTGAGAACTCAGGCAGTTTACCTGCCGAGGTAAAGGGGTTGAGAACTCAGGAAGTTTACCTGCCGGGGTAAAACGAGAAACGCCACAGAAGGGCTCCCGCGAACCATCGTGCTGGTTGGCAAAGCACCAGCTCCGAGGTTTCCGAGCTTTCCCCCACATAGCACAATACTGCAGAGAATTCTCCCTTCTAAGAGAGACGCCACCACTTGTTCACTTCTTGAATTGCAGTTTTGCTGTGCTCCTAGCCTTCTTGATTTCTTTCGTATATAGCAAGACGATTATAGAAAGTGTTACGTAGCTATATGGCTGAAACTAGCTTCTCTCAAGCTAGTATGATGCTTCATCAACCTCATTGGATCGGTAGCATCCTACCACAACTTCGACATCGGTAACCGTGACTCCAGCAAGTCCAAGGATGCTAGATCTGCCCACTGGATGTCGTCAAGGCTGACTACCAGAGAAGGGAACAAATAATTGCAAACGTAGCGAAAAGGCATCGGAATGCATAGGTTATCCGTGCCTTCGCCTCCTCGAATCCCTGTTGATGCCCATGAATGCGGTTGTTGAAATTTCCATCCTCGTGAAAATCCGCTGCAACATTCCTGTTGCCCACAATAGTCCTCAGTTCGGGCAGAACCTTGACAAGCACGTCGAGCTCTGAGCCAAGTTCCCGTGCAAGAATGTCATCACAGAGCTCAACGATGGAAGACAAATTAGCACAAAGATCATGGCAGGCTGAAGCAACGCCAGCATATGGCTCATCGCGAAGATAAATATCAACTTTCCAGCAATGTACAACCCCCTTTCTCTTCGTGACTTTGTCTGTAGCGTCTTGGCAAGAGCTGATTTCCCAACTCCTGAGCTCCCACGGATGAGGATCAACTCTCGACTCTTGTTCTTGGTGGCTTGGTCAAGGCATGATGCCAGCAGCTCTTGCTCCTGGCTGAGAACTGCAAGCTGTTGGCAGTTACGTGAAGGTCGGCACCACCAATACTGCTTGCTCGTGGAGACGTCATCACGACTTGTGCTTGCTGCGTTGGATCAAGAGCGAAGGATTCATACGGTAGCCCGCTATTGCTACCGGGTGGTCGCGATTAGATGCGTCGCGGGGGGCTGTCTGCGCATCCCCTTCCACAGAGGTAACCTCGGCCATCAGCCGTTCAACATCTTCCGTCTTGGCTTGCAACTCCCGATTCGATTCTTTTCTTCAAGTTCCCGCAATTTCATCACTAGCACTTCCTCTTGGGCAGCCAGCTCAGCAGAGATTGGCACAGCTTCAGGCATTACCGCAGTTGTGGGCTCGGCATGAGGCGAAATCGTGTCATCGATGGATAAACCCTCCGAATATTCTTCACTAGCTGACAGGTCGATCTCGTCCTCGATAGCAATTCCCGCTGCGAGACTCTGACCCTATGTGTTAAACGAAGGCTCATCGTCACACTGCGACTCGTCGCGGGCTAGACTGCTTGACCACCCTCGAGGCACATCTCGGAGATGTCTTGCTGCCTGACGAGGCCGTCGCTGCAAACCATATTTTCACGAATGCTTGCCCGAGTATTGCTGTCATGGCAAGCCACGGGATACGCCGCAATGGAATGTCTCCTCCCAGTGTTGGCTTCCTTCTCCCCACGCTGTTTCAAACCTCGTTGGATGCCTGGCTCCTCGGACTGAGGTGTTTGGGGGGGGCGTCGTCGTCGGCAATAACTTGTCCGGGGATGCACTAGAAATCGCCCCAATCCTGCGTGATCGGCGTGGTGGGGTTCAGCTGATGCAGAAACTTATGCTTGCGTCGCAAGCCACGAGCAAATAAGCGGCCATTGGTCCTCAACGGCAGGCAGGCTTCGTTCATACGGTGTCGGAAATGATCATCGGTGCAGGCAGGTTCTGCTGTTGTCTTGTTGAAATCATCATTCGATGCGACGAGTTGGCGTTTTTTCTGACCTGGACTCTCACGTTCCTCCTCCAAAGATCTACCGGCGAGCGATCTTTCTCCTTGCTGACTGCCGACAATGTGTGGTTCTGAGGGCTCCATGGTGCTCTTGGCATTGGTTGCAATGATGCGGATCCGCCGTAATGAGATGAAGATGTGAAATGGCATCTGCAACTATCCAGCTAGCGAGATAAGTTTGCAAGACCACAATAACACACACAGAGGGAAGCGACCCGCAACTGTGGTTCTCACTATTGCTATTCAACTATCAAACGAGCTAGTTAGTTAAGCTTGCAAGGACCACAATCACACCCACAAAGGGAAGTGCCATGGCAGACTGTTGTGTTGGTTTTCACTGGCAAGCGTTTACATGGCGAACGGCCATAGCATATCAATTCCTGCTGATGCATTCTGTCACACAGCTCTTCAGGGATGCTGCCCGACAAGGATGTGTCTGTGACTACCAAGCTGGTCAAGTTCTCCGCAGTAAGTAGTGCTGTAGGGAGGGTGCCAGATACGTTGGTATTCTGAAATTCTAGTGTCCTGAGATCAGACAGATGACCCACTTCTGTAGGAACAGTGCCCGTGAACAGGTTGTCATTCAGGTATAGGAACTTCAAGTTGGAAAGTCGGGAAAAGAGATCAGGAGGCACTGCTCCTGCAAACTTGTTGGAGCCAACATTGAGGTTGGTCAGCTCTAAGAAAAGCAAACAAAGGCAGCAATATTGTAAAAGGAAGGCATGAGTCAAGAAGAGTGTGTTGTGACACAGACTCTTCACCACACTCACTTGTCATCTCCAACAAGGCTGGGGGTACAGTTCCTGAGACTGAGTTTCCTCTCAAGCCTAGATATGTCTAGTTAAGGCCAGTCAGCCTCAAAAGACTATCAGCAAGATTTCAAAACATTCTTGGTTGCTTACTTACCAAATTCTCTAATTTTCCAAGTTGGTTTGGAATAGTTCCATGAAGATTCCAGTCCAACAAAATGAGACTTGTCAGTTCTGTCAGCTTCCCAAGTTCAGCTGCATCATAAGGACTTTAGAAAGTGAGTCATCCTTGTTTGGAACCACCTTTCCACATGTGTTGCTAGCATGAATGCTTACATGGAATTGACATTACTGTCCCACTGCTTCGGCTTGATAGTGATAGTGAATGAAGCTGCATTGCGTTGTGAATGACTTCTTGAAGGATATATTCAGTTTCCTGCCAAGGGCACTCCTGAATTGATAGAGACTGCAGGCCAGGCAATTTGTAAAGCTCACCTGGTACTGAACCTAGATTGAATGACAACATCAGGTTTCCAATCTGCTGACCAAACAGAAACAAAGCACACATACCTGTTAAATCAGTTCTCGCCACAACAAATGTCGATAAGTTGCACAGTCGTCCAATCTCTGAAGGAATATGCCCATGAATTGGAATCCCGCCAAGTGCTACCAACTGAAGGCTCTGCAGTTGACCAAACTCGGTTGGAAAGGAGCCACCAATGTTTGTAGTAGTCAACAATAATTGAGCCAATTTTGTCAGCAGTCCAAACTCAGTGGGGATGGATCCCTCGAGTTGCAATTGCAGACGCAAAACGATCGACTGCAAGCTTTTCCCCAGCATGGAAATCTCAGGAGGAATTGTTCCTTCCATGTTATTGGCAGTCTCGAATATCAGCGCCTTGATTTCTCCCATCTCATTACAGCACTGGTCTGGAGAGAATGTGTGATTCAAAAATAGTTGTTCCCAGCTGCATTCATTAGTCTCCCAATCCAGCCAGCCCCGACGTTTCACCCAATAGTCCCCACTTGTGGAATAGTAGAATGTGGCCATAGCAAACCTTTGTATCAGTCTCCATATTGGTAGATCGGGTTGAGCCAAGGTTTGGTTCTTGATGTTGTTGACCAACCATTGATAGGCCTTGGACTGAGGAGATCTGGAGTTTGACAGTGCTTCTTGTGTGTAGTGAGGTAGATTGAGTGACTCCAAAAATGTCTGTGATATTGCGGCTTCCACAGGACTTGCGGCTTCCACAGGATTTGCAGAAATACGAATTGATCCATTTAGATTTGGTAGCTGATTTTTGTTTCCTTGTTTGGATGCCACCACAAAAATTAGGACAATAATAGATACAGCAAGGAAAGCCACAATGATCTCAGCAGAGAGGGCACAAAGCAACTTTTGCCTCCAGTAAGCTCTGGATCTCTGGTTGGTTGGTAGTGGCTCTGCATTGGGTAACAGGCCTATCTGCTGATCATCGTCTATAGGATGTGCAATGACTTCATCGTCTGCAATATCTTCAACCCAATTGTCAAGGCCTTCTTCGCTCGTACCGGTAGTAGTAGCAGTATTCGAATGATCCTCTCATCCTCTCTGTCATTAGCAAAAAGACATGGACCATCAACGGCATATGCCCCAGGATATTGTTGTTGTTGTCTAGAATATTCGGGTTGTCTTGTTAGCATGGTAGGCTGTGGCACTTGTGCATCATCTGTGAATCTGTCGTGGCTGTTATCGTTCATCTGTGATGTTGTGCCAATTTTTTGGGTGAGTTCTACTAGCTCCACGTCTCCAGATGTCTCAATATGAGCAGCAGCGGCTCTTTCTCTGGCAAGATAGCCACTTGTGGTGGTCGATGTTGGAAGAGGAGGGGCAGGAGGAGTGGCAGCAAGACTAGGTGAAGGAGAAGAACGGCTCCAGGAACCATGGGGATCATCATGGGTTTGTTTGGACTCATCGTTTTCTTGATCATCTTCTGAATTTCCTAGCTGCAATCTCAACTCCTTGATCTTGAGAAGATCGACATCATCATCATCATTGTTGTTGTTGTTGTTGTTGTTGTTGTTGTGAAAGCGTTACAGTTCCTCCCACGACTCAGAGTATCCGTGAGTAGATTGAGTCATGTTTATGAGTCAACACGATGGAACAGAGAACGCTGGCAAGAACACGTTCTCAACGAAACCAAAGGACACGGTAAATTGGAGTATTCGACAGGAGTAAAGCATCCTGCCAACGAACCGTTTCCAGCAGATACCACGTTGACTTCCGTATCAACTACCACGATGTATTGATCCAACACGCTACAACTAGCTTTACTGATCGCATCAATCAAAGCTCACAACACAGATTATGAATTTACTAAGAAGCGAACTTTGCATTTACCTTGCACTCGTCTTGAATAGTTACGGTTGATCTCGTCGGTGGTAGCTACCTCTACAAGATCCCTCTATTCAAGTATATTTCCCCACGTTAGCAGATTAACTAGTCGCAGTTACGCACTGCCACACCTTCATCAAGATGGCCGATGAAGAGCCAAGCTCAAGCATGTTCCTTTGCCGTTGGTGTCGTTGAAGCTTGGAGATCCATAACTTCATCTTTGGTGAGAAGTAGGAGATCCATCCATCCGTCGATTCCTTGTTCAGACAGTGCGATGCGCATGTGAGATGCATTGTACCCTGTGGTGAAGCATCTTCGCCGCTAGGGTGCATAGG